CATGGTATGTTGATCTGGCTAGTCTCCAACTCCTAGGCTCCTCAGCCTCCCCAGGAGCGGACGCCACTGTTACCAGCTAAAGTTAGGTTGGTAGATACTCACAGTAATTCCCAATACAAGTACATTTCTTTTCTTCTTCTTCCTCTTCTTCTTTTTTTTTTATTAGATATTTTCCTTATTTACATTTCAAATGTTATCCTCTTTCCTGTTTTCCCCTCTGGAACACCCCCTATCCCATCCCCCTCCCCTGCTTCTATGAGGGTGTTTCCTCCACCCTCCCACCCACTCCCACTTCCCCGTCCTGGCATTCCCCTACACCAGGGCATCAAGCTTTCACAGGACCAAGGGCTTCTCCTCCCATTGATGTCCCACAAGGCCATCCTCTGTTACATATGTGACTGGAGCCATGGGTTGCTCCATGTGTACTCTTTGGTTGGTGGTTTAGTCCCTGGGAGCTCTGGGGGGTCTTGTTGGTTCATATTGTTTGTTGCTCCTATGGGGCTGCAAACCCCTTCAATGGAATTGCCAGTTGACATTGTGTTGGCTGTTTGGTGTCAGTTTTCTTCCAGTCAGTATTGATTAGCATCCGTTCACTTAGCTCATTAATATATTTATTTCCTGGGATCAAACACTCTTGATTGATCATGCTAAAACTGAGTTAATCTCCACATCCTGCCTCTGAGCCACACTCCACATTGTCGTTGTGTAAGGATAGTTTTTTGTAACTTGCCACAGGCATGATTGTTAGATTTCACCAACTAAGACTCTTATCTGATGGAGCCTTTCAATTAGCCAAGAATAATAATCATTGGTTTTTGTTCTTTTTGTTTTATTTGTTTTTGTTTTTGAGGCAGTTCTTGCTAGCTTTGAACTCAGGCAATCCTTTTGCCTCAGCCTCCCAACTGCTGGGATTACAGATGTGAACCACGCCCACCCATTAACTACTCGTTGATAAAAGGGAAGCTTGAAATAGTGAAGTGCTGACAAAATACAATAACTGTGATGGAAATCTATTTTTTTTCTTTTTTCAGACACGGTCTTATGTACCCCAGACTGGGCTTTCAGGTCAGTGTTTAATTTTTGCGGTAATTACTTACCCCAATAAGCTCGTATAAAAACACACACAACCCAGTTAATATATTTATAGGCTATATGCCTAGATTGGGCAGATCTATCACTATTCTAATTTATCCCCTGCAATGAGACCTCTTGCTACTTGAAGCTTCTCCAGGACATGTGGTTCTGTTCCATATTGGCTTCCACCTCTTCTTCCTCCATCCTCTCTCTTCCTCCTCCTCTCTCCTTCTGAGACCCCCAGTTCCACCTCTCCCTTCCACTGCCCAGTCATAGGCTCTAGCCTTTATTTGACCAGTCAGCATGGGGAGAAGGTTCAATGAGATCACCTGAATACGTGTGATCTACTTTTTATCAGGGCAGCAGCGTCTCTGGAGTAAGCAGAATTAACATCAAAATACAAACAGTGCCAGGACGACCCACAACAGTTAGTAGCACATCTTCTCAACTTCAGTTTACACTTAAATGTTTGACTATTAGGTGCCTCTTTGGATTTCAGGTTTTATAGGTGAGGGTAATGGTAGGTTACAGTTGTTGAACCTGACGAATTTTTTAGATGATTACACTATCTTTAAACCTTTGTTGGCCTAAAAGTCTTCTACATTTGACAGGATATAAATTTTGTGTATCCTCATGTAACAGATGCTGACCTGGATGTGGGGAAATGGGAACCCTCATACACTGCTCATGGGAGTGTAAGCTAGTGCAGCCACTTTAGAAATCAGTCTGGAGGTTCCTCCAAACACCTCGAAGAATGACCCCGCCATACCACTTATGGCCATGTATCCTAAGTGTGTTGGTTTGAATAGAAATGATCTCCATAGGTTCATGTGTTTGAATAAGGGAGTCGAGTTACTTGAGAGGGATTAGGGGGTGTGGCCTTCTTGGGGTAGGTGTCACTAGGAGTGGGCTTTGGGGACTCAAAAGCTCAACTCAGACCCAGTGTCTGGCTCTTTAGCTGTCTGCCAATCCAGATGTAGAACTCTCAGCTTCTTCTGCCTGCTTGCCTCCAGGCTCCCCTCCATGATGACAATAACTAAACCTCTGGAACTGTAAGCCAGCCCTAATTAAATGTTTTCTCTTATAAATGTTGCCGTGGTCACAGCAATAGAACACCGGCTAAGACACCAAGGAATCAATATCCTCCTACAGGGACAGTCCCTCGTGCATCCGTGTTCACTGCTGAACTGTACACAATAGCTAGAAAGTGGAATCAGTCTAGCTGTGCATTGACTAATGAATGGATCATGAAAGAAGGGTGGGACATGTGCAGAAGGTAATTTCATTCAGCAATTAAGGAAAATAAAATTATGAAATCTGCAGTTAAACAGGGGAAACTGGAGATGTTAGACAGAGCAAGGTAAGTTCAGTCCATCAGTTTTGCGTATCTGGAGTAAAAGTTTCTCAGGAAACCAGAAGAAAACCAGTGGGATGGAGAGTTCCCATAAGGAAGGAGGGATGGGAGGAAAATGAAGGTGGGAGCATGTTGGATGAGGAAGAGTTCCATTAGAGAGAGAGGAGATGGAGGAAGGAAAAGGGCAGGGGAATGCTAATCAAAATAAAGGGAGAGGCAGTCACAGAAACAACACTAAGAAATAAAGCATTGAAAACATAAAACAGAGTTTGAAGGCAGATGCCCTTCGAGGCTAGACTTATTGATTGTAGAAGAGCCTTGCATATGAACACCGTACCACACAGTCCCCAGCACAAAGGGGTTTTAAATGTTTATGGACTTACCTCACTGTACCTGCAGTATCTCTATCTGTTGATTATTATTTTAAAACACTGGGCTGACTTATTTATAATAGCCAGAAGCTGGAAAGAACCCAGATGCCCTTCAACTGAGGAATGGATGCAAAAAATGTGGTGCATTTACACAATGGAGTATTACTCAGCTGTTAAAAACAATGAATTCGAGAAATTCTTAGGTAAATGGATGGAACTAGAAAATATCATCCTGAGTGAGGTAACCCAATCACAAAAGAACACACATGGTATTCACTCATTGATTATTGGATATTAGCCCAGAAGCTTGAAATACCCAAGATTCAACTCACAGACTATGTGAAGCTCATGAAGAAGGAAGACTAAGTGAGGGTGCTCCGGTCCTTCTTAGGAGGAGTAACAAAATACTCAAGGGGGCAAATATGGAGACAAAGTGTGGGACAGAAACTGAAGGAAGGGCCATCTGGAGACCATTCCACCTGGCTATCCATCCCATGTGCAGTCAGTCACCAAAGGTAGACGCTGATGTGGAAGTCAGGAAGTGCATGCTGACAGGAACCTGATATAGCTGTGTCCTTAGAGGTCTGCCAGAGCCTGAAATATACAGAGGCGGATAATCACAGCTAACCATTGAACTGATCAAGGGGTTCCCAAAGGAGGAGTTAGAGTGAAGACTGAAGGAACTGAAAGGGTTTGCAGCCCGGTGAGGAGAGCAACAATACCAACCAACCAGAGCTTCCAGGGTATAAACCACCAGCCTGGGAGCACACAGGGAGAGATCCATGGCTCCAGCTGTATATGTAGTGAAGGATGGCCTTGTCGGGCATAGGTGGGAAAAGAGATCCTTGGTCCCATGAAGGCTGGATGCCAAGTGTGGGGGAATTCGAAGGTGGGAAGGTGGGAGTGGGGGGGTAGGTGGGGTCACATCCTCATAGAAGCAGGAGGAGGGGGATGTGATAGGGGGTTCCTGGGAGGGAGTGGGGTGGGGAGAGAAGTGGGGTAAGGGGATAACATCTGAAATGTAAATAAAATATCCAATTAAAAAGACTCACCTTAAATTTTACCTTAAAAAATGTAAAACAACAACAACAACAAAACACACAGCTGAGTCCTTTCCTGCCTTTTAGTTCTTCTGCCACCGGGAGAGTTTACACCAGATTGCCATGCAGAGTCCATTAGCCCAATGGCCCTTTCTGCTGTATAAAACACAAGGCATTCTCTAAATAAGGGGTTCTCTGTGATTCATTTATTTTTAAATGCCTGTTTTTTTTTCTTCTGCCTGTTAAAATATTTCAGTTGAATTAAAAACAAACAAACAAACAAACAAACAACAACAATCTTACACTGTCATTTCCTTTAGATTCAGCGTTGGGTAAGTTTAATCAGACTGCACCTGCAGAGCAAGTAACAGACTCTAATAACTAACCACTAACTAGGTCATTATGTTTTGATTTCCCTTAATCAGGGACATCGACAAGGATTTCAACTACCGGTACATTCCAGACGCTGCCTATGTTAATAGTAACGCAGGGCTTCCTCTTGGCTGGCTTCACGGTCGAAGCCAAATATGCACATGTGTGTGTTCATTTTCAGGCCTTGACTTCGGTTGAGAGGAATTTAACCCCACCCCCGTCCAGAATGGAAAAACAACGCCCCCATTCCCGCCCTCGGCTTCCTCCCGCCTAGGTCTTCTCCAGTTACAGAAGTTTGGATTTTTTTTTCCTAGAGAGCTAGAAGAGTCAGGTCCCAAGAGTGGAGTTATAGTATCCGTTTATTTGCTCTGCTGGGAGACCGGTGGGGAAATCACACTTTGTAACTTAGTCTCCTGGGGGAAGAAGAGGAACGGATTCCTAAAAACTTGAGCTGAAGTGCTTGACACCAGGTTTGATTGACAGAGACCGATTGAGCAAGAGCAAAGGGGCGGTGCTGCGGGCCTAGGGCCGGGTAGAGACAAAGGGGCTTCCGCGGCCACCGGGAGAGGAAGGACCCTTTGTCACCGACCAGCTGCTGCGCTGTAAGGATGCATCTGGTGGAGTCTCTTTCTCCTTTGCAGACTGGCGATCTGGCGAAGCCGGCTTGGCAGGAGGCAGGGGGAGGTGGAGAGGGGGTGCCGAAAGGGGGCGCGGGTCCCGGTCTGGGCAGCACTGTGTCACGTGCTCGTCGCCGCCGCCTCAGGGTTGGGGCTGTTCTTCCGGGTTGGAGGCATAGCGCCGCGGGCCAAGCCCGGGTCTGCCAGCGCGGCGTGGCGTTTGCTCGCAGCCCGGGGTCGCCATCTGTCCCGCCTGCCGGTCCGGGTGAGCCAACCGGCCCTGCAGAGCCTGGGGACTGCTGGAACAGGCAGGCAGCCAGCGCTGACCCCTGGTCCCGGTGCGAAGGGGACCCGAGAGAGAGCAGCAGGGGGGCGGGGTCGTCAGTTTCTAGCAAATGGGGTGCAGAGGCTCCTGCAGGAGACAGACGGAGAAGGAATATGGTGTGCCTGGAGGCCCCTTTTGTGTGTGCGTTCTATTGGGGTGACATGGAATGGAGTGAGAGGGTGGAGGTGGGAACGGGGTCCCAGCAGAGGACAAGGTAACCAAGTGACAGCTGTGCAGGTGCAGATCTTGGATCCTGGGGTGTGAGTCGGGGCAAGGACTGCAAAAGTTGTATTAGTCATTTTGGCCCTTAGAGGGACTGGAAGAGAGGTCATAGAGGACTTTCGATGAATGGTGTACCTAGAAGAATGACAGCTAGGCACTCCTAAGTTGTACTTGAACCCTGAGAGTAGTGTTCAGGTAGGGTGTCCAGTTGGGTGTACAGGAAAAGATGACTGTAGGTCAGGGCTGACTGGGTGCCAGTTTCTGAACACTGAGAAAGGGGTTTGGATTGGTGAGTCAGCGTGGGCTGGTTTGGAGGTCGGGGTGTAGGACTGGATTGGAGGTCGCGGTGTAGGCCTGGGCAGAGCTGGTTCAAACTTGAGAGACACAATAACTACTATGTAGCCAGAGCCAATGGGCTTCCACAGGAGGTTATAAATAGCGGTCCAGCTGCACGTGCCAGCCGGTGGCAGTTTGGTTGCTGTGGGAGGGGCAGCACCTGTGACAGGGGCTGTGGCACCAGTGGCTTTGGGCGAGGTCACACTGCCTGCCAGAATAGGGTATTGTGTCCTTGTTGGTATGCCTAGCTTTTAAAAGCATGACTTTGTTTATGCTTGCAGGTGCCCTTTATTTGTCCTGCCGTAGTGTGCAGTCATTAGAAATCGTTGGAGGCATGGGGCTTACTTGCCCTCTGCACCCCCTTTTTTGGGCAAATATTGCTTATTTTTCCTTTCTTACTTTATTATTCTTATTTTATTTTTTTATTTCGAGACGCGGAAGATCTCGGTCTGTAGCCTTGGCTGGCTTGAACTTCTATGTGTAGCCCAGGCTGGCTTTGAACTTGAGTTGCTCCTCCTGCCTCCCCAGTGCTGGTATTTACAACTATGAGCTACCATCTCGGCTCCACTTTCTTTCTTTCTTTCTTCTTTCTTTCTTTCTTTCTTTCTTTCTTTCTTTCTTTCTTTCTTTCCTTCCTTCCTTCCTTCTTTCTTTCTTTCTTTTTTTTTTTGTTTATTGAAGGGGCAGTGTAGGATTATTCTAGTATCAGCAAACAGTTTATTTTTGCGGATAGGGTCAGTTTTCTACAAGGCTATGCAAAATTTTTGTTTTTAAAGGAAAAGTCTGAAAACTCTGTTTCAGAAATGTATTGTGGAATGGCCTCAGGATACCCAGCCCTAGTCATTTCAGTGTTCAGTCAAAAAGTCTTAACTGACTTACTCTGGGTAATGCAAAGCACAGGGCCAAGAAAAATAACAAAGCGATTTGAATAACCCACCAGGATCTTGTGTTCTTTAATCCTCTCTACAAACCAATGATCAGGGCACTTTGCTACTTTAATCTTCAGGACTTTATGAGGTAGGTTTTTACTATTATTCTGACCTTAAAGATAAGGAAATCAAGTACAAAGAAGCTGGGTGATTTGAGAAGGACACACCTATAATAATCTAAAAAAGGGGATTCCAACCTAGGGTATACTCTAGTCTCTTTACTGTCTTCTTTTGCTAGGTCAGGTGCTTGCCTTAGACTCTAGAGCAGCGGTTTTCAACCTTCCTAATGTTGTGGACCGTTTAACACAGTTCCTCATGTTGTGGTGACCCCCAACCATAAAAGTATTTTTGTTGCTACATTAAACCTGTATTTTTGCTACTGCTCTGAGTTGTAATGTAAATATCTGTTATGCAGGATAGCTGATATGATGCCCTTGTGAAAAGGTCATTTGACCCCCAAAGGGGTTTTGACCCACAGGTTAAGAACCACTGCTCTATAGGGTTTTAACACTGGGGAAGACTGAGGATGTAGGCTCTGGATACTGTCCTTGGCATCACACACATCAATCTCTGGGGAGGCACTTATCCTTATAACTTACATCAAGTGGCTTAATGAATGTTATGCTGAAACAGGCATTTCATTCTTTTAAACTCGGGGTTGCAAAATTATTTATTATTCATTATTGATTCAAGGCTTGAGAAGTGCATGGAAGTGCACAGAGAATTTCGAAGTGAAGAAAAGGGGGGAATGTAACTCTGTTGGAGTAAACACGGACTAGCCAATGGGTCAGATATTTTCTGAATACCTTTCAGAACCATTTATATTTAAAGTAGGGCAAGTGTACTGGACTTTTCTTGCCAGTAAACATCCTGATCTTTGTGTGTTTGATGCCTAATAAAGCCGTTTTATTTTTAAATTTTAGTTTTAGATTGGGCTTCTGATATATGGTGCCCCTATTAGAGATCTGCTCTATATCAAATTATTATTTTCCAAGTAGGCAAGACAATCATGGATTTTCTAGAGTCTAAAAAGACCTCAGCAAGCTGTTGTTTGCTACCAGGTTAAACAATCAGGAAGTGGCGGACCTGGGCAATGCAGGGCTCCATTTGGGCCAGTTTCATATATTTACTGATGAGGTCTGAGGAAGCTTTACCAACTCACTGAGAACAGTGGTGGCAGGGAGCTGGGATGACCCAAGAAGAGAAAGGGCCTCTGAGATTCTGTCCTTGGGCCACGTTTGTTGGATTAAAGGACCGCTAATGAATAGGCAACTCCTGGATTGATAATTCCTATCGCTGATGTTTCTTCTCAGCGTTTTAAAGTTTATTTAGGAAGTTGTAGTAACAGCTTTGAGATTTAAAATTAGCTAAACACTTCTCTGGTGCCTGGAAAAGTGGTTGTAGAGCCTGCTTGGATATGATGCTTGGCCCGGTAAGAGTCCAACTCATGGATGTGTGCCTTTAGGCATAGTGAGTAATGTTAGCCAGGTTTGACTGATAGACCTCAGAGCCCCTGCTTCTTCTCATTCTCAAAGCAACGAGAAATGCTGAGGAACATGGGGAATGCAGTAGAGGAACCGGGGACATGTAGGCGTGCCTGCTGTGCATCCATGGGGATCTGCCAAAGAGGGCAAAGGTAGCTGAAGAATCAACAAAGTGATACATCACTCAGTCCTGCTAGAATCAGCAATAAGTGGCCATGTTTTGGTGAAATAAACTTTATTATAAAACATTTGCAAATTATACTGGCCACTGTTGAGAGCTGTATTCAAAAGAGTTCAGTTATACCTACATCTGCAAGCACAGACTGGATTAGTAAAGATATTATGGAGCCCCCCCCTCTCTCTCTCTTATCTTCCTTTCCTTCTTTCTTTCTGTATTATTCTATGTGTATTTATTTTCTTGAGAGGTAAACATGAATCTCATGTTCATTTAGGCATGGATCAGGAGATCTCACTGGAAGAGGTAAGCTTAGCAATGTGTTTCGTAAGACCTAGTGCCTAACTGTTTTTTAGATAACTTAAGGGAGAGTCACATGTAACTTTGATTATATATACCTTTTTGACAAATATGTTGACTTAGAGGATAACTTTAGTGCAAGATGTGGTTTATCTGTATAGGTGTGTATATACAAGCTCTCTAGACACACACACACACACACACACATACACACATTTGAGTGACTCAGGCCTGAAATTGAATGTTGAGTTTACAACCCCAGTTCTAGGGAGAAAATGGATTTCGAGTTTTAAACGCTGAATCAGAAACAGATTTTTGAAGTGTTGTCCACAAGTAAAAGACTTGACAACTACATTCTTTGTAGCATCCAAATGTATTCCAGAAACAGACCCTTTAAGATGGACAATTTATATGCTTTTTTCGTGCTCAAATGACAAGGTAACTTTTTTCTTGACATATAAACATGTTCTTCTCTTTCTTTTTTAGTAATCCATCTTCAAGGAATTGGGGATTCGAAACATTGGGAGTGTAAAGCAACATGGCACATCTACTGAAATCGGTGGTGACTGGCTCTTCATGTCCTTTGTTTAGCAACTTGGGGTCCTGTAAGGTTCTATCTGGGAAGAAAGACTTTTTACGAACGTTTCATACTCACCAGGCACTGTGGTGTAAATCCCCGGTAAAACCAGGTAAAACTTTATTTCACTTAATAAGGTAAAACTTAATTTACACTTTAACTTAATTTTTTGTACTTCCGGTCTTTGATACATGCAAGGAGAACACATTAAGTTTTATAGCCTGGTGTTTGTGAGTGGTCATTTTACACAGAAAACAACATCAACAGCAACAAAAACCCAAAGGAGTGTTTTGTGATAGTTGGTTATTAAGCTCTTTTTGAATCAACCCGGTAGTGGCAGCAGCAGCCACGTGTTCCTCACTGCCCGAGCCCCAGTGTTCTAGGTTCTCAAATGAAAGACAGACACCTGCAGCTTTATATTTTAGTATGCCTTAAACAGCCCAGTGGCTGGGCCACTCTCAAACCTCCACATGGCTGACACTGCTTCCCTCCCCTATTCCTGAATTATTATTTACTAAAATCGATATTCTATCATTGTTGTCCTAGGCTCAGGGTTGGTGGGTGGGGGAGTGTGCTCTTTTCTGGCTCTTATGTGATTGGTGTGCTCTCTCTTCTGCAACTATCAGGCCTGGACCATACTCCTTTCCTGGCATGGTGGTTCTAAATCCTTCTTCCTCTCTCGGACCCCTTGCCTGCGAAGTCTCAAGTACTGTCTCTGTCTCCCTGCCCAGCCATTGGCCACCAGCAGCTTTATTTACCAATTAAAACCAGGGACACTCAGCGTCTTACATGCTAATTCTTGTGCAATTTTGGGAACCCAATTAACATAATACAAGCATTAGGTCAAGTCCACAACAGTATTTTTTCCTTATTTTCCACTTATAGAAATTCTAGATTGCCATTGCTAACAGAGAAGATAAAAAACAATGGGAAAAGAAAAAGATCAACCGGTTGTATTGTATTTGGGAGTCTTTGGCTCATAGTAACCGTTTCTTCTTGCAGCCCTTCCTTTGTTTCTAGAAGGTATTGGAGAATTGTACCAGATAGAGTCCACTGCTCAGGACCTAGGAAGGAAGTGTGTTAACTGCTCTACAGTAATGTTCCTTGCTTTAGTAAAAAGCAATCTCATTGCAGTTCAGGTCAGAGATGTTAGTCTTCCCACATGCTGTTAGCAGCTACTGTTCAGCTTGGTTTTGTGTCTGTCAGTCTGTCTGTCTCTGTGTATGTGCACATGTGGGCAAGTGCCCTCTAAGACCAGAAGACAGTGTTGGGTCTCCTAGAACCGGAGTTCCAGGCTGTTGTTAACGTCCTGATGTGAACGCTGGAAACCAAATGTGAATCCTTTGGAAGAGCAGCCACGACTCTTAACCACTGAGCTATCTCTCCAGCTCCACCCTTACCACCTGTACTCACTTTGGTTCAAGCCATCATCTGCCACTCAAGTGGTGTGTTACTTTCTTAAACAGTATCTGTGCTTTCAGCCTCTGCCCTCCTACTGTCTGTCTGGCACATGGCAATGGTAATACCCTTTTGTAAAACTGTAAGAGCATGCTAGTTCTTTCTTCAAAATCACTACTGTCTTCTCAGCTTATACTGAGCAAGAGTGAAGGTTTCCAATGGCCTATCGGGTCTTCTGTAATAGGAATCTCTGTTGTAGGTACAGGCCCTAAGGAGGGGAGGCTCCAGAGGTCACCTTCTAAGCTGAGTCACCTCTCTGTTAGTGTTCTTCCCCAGGACCATCCTAGTACACTGTCTGTCATTCACTGTCCGGACCTTAAGCATGTGGACGTTTGTCAGGAAGACTTAGACATTTAGTTTTTAGTCCAGATGGCAATATGCCCAGCTAAGGATGGTGCTTAGCTCCTACGATGAAAGGGTGGCATGAATGTTTCTTTTCCCTCTTAGGGCTTGCAACACTCCTTTCTAGTCACCAAGGAGCTGTTACCTTGAATAGATTTCATAGCCTTGTTCCATTTTCTCAGGTGACAAATCTCTATTGGCAGTATACTTTTCCCTTATCGGTCCCATGTTTATCTTCAGAAACTTGCTTTTAATCTGCTTAGGAAAGCAGTCACCTACTGATAGAACTGATAAGATAGAGGCAAATGACCATGTTGAGAACCTGAGGATTGAACTTGTGAATAAATAGATCTATGGACATCAAAGACCTCTGCAGCAATATGTGTAAATCTTCCTTGTTTAACTTTTGATTTTTATTTTCTCAACTGACTTAAAAAAAAAAAACTTTTAACAGATAAGGAGACTCCAAAGCCTGCCCCCACAGTGACACACTTCCTCCAACAAGGCCACCCCTTCTCCAACAAGGCCACACCTAATAGTATCACTCACTATGGGCCAAGCATCCAGAGACAGGAGTCTTTCCTATCATTCAAACACATTTCTATTCTGACCAACTCAGATATATAAGAGACTTTTTTTTTCTTTCTTTTTTCATTGCTGGGAATCAGACCTAGGGCTTCAGACATGCTGGCTGGGTATTTACCACTTGGTTGCTTACATCCTCTGCTGTTCTTCCCTATTTTCTCCCATGTTGAGACATACAGTTGTTGCTCAGTAGAGTTTCCAGTGTTCTAAATTTGACTGAGTGAGTTCCTATCGTGGTTCTGCTGAGTCAATTTCTTTTCCCATTTATTTATTTATTTAATAACATTTAGCTAGACCTGAAGGCTCCATTAGCTTAAGGATACATTTCTGGCAGGAACACTTCAACGGCAGTGTTGTTTATTATTGTATTGCATTGGGAAGACTACGTGGACAGTGTAGGTGTCGTCCTTGTGGACTGTCTGATATGAAGTTCCCATTAGCTTTTCCCATTCAGATGCCTTCTGTCATTTGATGGATGCCCATTAACTGAGCTCGTGATTTTATTAGGGCTCTCGAAACAGTGAAACTCCATCATTCTTTCTTCATTCATCAGCCAGAATTTTTTCTATAAAGTAAACAGATTTTCTCTGTTGGTCACTTGCCTTGGAATGGACCTGGGGAGGTGGGACAAAGGCTCTTTCCCGTTCCTTGTTAGTTCTGCTAATAATCACTGGGTTCCCTTATGTGTTAACTTCCTATTCCTGATGTAACAAATAATCATAAACCTACTGGCTTTTTACCCACTGGAAGTCAAAGTCCAAGGGAGTTGTCACCGGGCCTCCATCCAAGTGCTGGCAGTTCTGCATTTGTCCTGGGAATCGTAGGGGAGAACTGTTTTCCTAAACCTTTCAGCTGCCTCAGAGCTTCTCCACCTGTCAGATTGTGGCCCCTTTCCATCTTGACAATGTCAATGTACCGTCCTCACACTGCTTCTTGACTAGGACTCTTTGGCTTTCTCCTCCCCGTGTAAGGACTCTGTGATTACCCTGCAACTCTCCAGATAACCTGGAGTATTCTTCCTCCTGTAGGCCCAGTGATTACCAACCCTTAAGTCCATCTGGCATCATAAATCCCCTGTGCCATGCATGATGGGTTCAAAGGTAGTAGGGGTTAGGACATGGGTGTTCTTGGGAAGTTGTTATTCTGCCCATCACGCTGCATGTTCTACGTTGAGCCATGCCCTTTAAAATACTTAGTACTTTTTTTGGATAATCAACATGAAATCATGAGTTATAATATCTTTGGAAGTGTTCTACTCCGTTATTCTTTTTAAAATTTTCCTTTTATTTTATGCCTTTTTTTTTTTAACCTGCATGGATGTCTGTGCTCCCGTATATTCCTGGTGCTCATGGAGGCCAGAAGAACCTCCTGGAGCTGGAGTTGTAGACAGTTGTGATCCATCATGTAGATGCTGGGAATCGAACCCAGGTCTTCTGGGAGACCAGTACATCCTTCCAGCTCCCATTCATTCAATTTTGATAGCCAAATGACCATAGTTGGCTCTTTTTCTTTTTTCTTTCTTTCTTTTTTTTTTTTTTGAGACTGGGTCTTGCTATGTAGCCCTGGCTGGCCTGGAACTTGCTATGTAGACCAGGTTGGCCTAGAAATCATACAGATCCATCTACCTCTGCCTCCTGAGAACTTGGATTAAATGTACCATCACTACTGGCTCTCCTAAATACATTTGACTCAACTCTGTCATCTTTAGTAGCTGCCTTGGCTTTCTAAATGCAAGGCTTCGATTTGAGGTTTTCAGATGAGTGCCAAACTCCAGAGAAGTTCATATGTGACTTCATTTTACACTTGGATCTAATATTTGCCAAACTCCTAGTTTTCTCTCTCTTTAGGTAGAAAATAAGCATTTGTCTGCCTCTGGTGTACTGTAAATTATTAGTGTATAAATAACAGGGGAATATAAAACTATGTTCATGTGTTGGTATTTTCAAGTTGCCTTAAACTGTCTAAAGTCTCAAAAAGTTACTCCATATTTATAATTTTATTCACTTTTTTATTATATGTTTAGTGGCAAGAATGGAATTTTTAAACTATATAGTAAGCCCTATGTAGAAACATGCTGTTTAAAAATATGTTAGTAGCTTGGAGTGGTGGCACACGGATTTAATTCCAACACTCTGGAGGCAGAGGCAGGTGGATCTTGTGAGTTTGAGGACAGCCTGGTCTACAAAGCAAGTTCCAGGACAGCTAAGGCTACACAAAGAATCCCTATCTCCCCCCCCAAAAAAACAACCAAGACCAAAAAACAAGACCAAAAAAATTAGTTAATGGCTTCATTAAAGCATCAGATGAAACTGGTGTCCTATAGGTAGAGCTAGCCTGAACTCTGCATAAAGATGTTTGTGTTGCTTTCTTTTGAGTTATAAGGAACAGAATCACAATCAGGTTATATATAGTTTGTATGAGGGTGTACTATATGGATTCTTGGGCCCAGGATCCTCTTCATTATTTTGGAGAAGTGGAATACATTCCAGGTTTCCTAGTTCTGCCTAGTCTTTCTTTAAGTAGCCACTATCATGGTGCCTGTCCGTGCTGCTCTGACTTCTTGCTGATTACTGCATGGCTATGCTTACAAATCACTTCCATACCAGCTACTCTCTTAGCTTTTGTGTGGCTTCTCCATTCAAATCTCCTAGGAGAGACCGTGACTGGGTAGGCGTTTTAGTTACTCTTCAGTTGCTGTGATAAAACATAGTGACCAAAAACAACTCGAGGAGGAAGAAATTTATTTCAGCTTAAGACTTTCTGGTTACGCTTCGTCACTGAAAGAAGGCAGGGTAGGAACTCACGGGAAGAACTGGAGGCAGGAACTGAAGCAGAGGTCATGGAGGAACACGGCTTATTGGCTGCTGCTCCTCTTGGCTTGCTCAATCTCCTCTATCGTTCTATGCAGGGTGATCTGCCCCCAGTGAGCTGGGCCTACCACATCAATCACTAACTGCACTAAATGCACTACAAACGTGTCTACAGGAGAATCTTATGGAGGCATTTTTGTTAATTGAGAAGCCCTCTTCCCAAATGTTCTATCTTGTATCAAATTGGCATTAAACTAGCCAACGTAGGAGGTTAATAAATGTCCAACATGGACTGTTCTGGATCTACCATTCCTATATAAGTCATGTCATTGGCAGTGGCTGCTGGCTTCTCTCATGCCCTGCCTGTCAGATGACTGTCTTTGACCTGATTGCTGGCCTCTCAGCTGCTGGTCAAGTCTCAGGATTCAACCTTGGAAATCTATAAGAAATTTCCTCTGGCCAAATTGTCAGGAAAGGAACTTCAGCTATGGCAGCCATCAAAGTATCTGTGATAGAGCTATTCTGCAGTAATTTATTTCTGTCTTCACTAAAAGCCAGGACAAGAAGACTGTAACCCCAGAGGGTGAAGGAGGGGAGTTAGCACGCTGTGTGATTTCTCAACTCAGGTATTTCTCTCCTAAGAATAGACTAAGCTTGTGCCTTAAAGAGAGATGTTCAATTAAACAAAACATTTAGTACATTCAGGACAGTTTGTACAAAAATTTATCACTTTTCAAACCAGGCAAACGGATTCTGATCGTGAATTGTTATTTTTCAGTAGCAGTTTGTGCGTGATTCTGTTTCAAAAAAACAGACTGCCCATTTCCCTCTCCTGAAGTCTGCTCCGAAACATGCTTTTTAGCTTTGTCTAAACTTTGGTTTTGTTTGCTTTTAGGAATTCCATATAAGCAGTTGACAGTTGGGGTTCCCAAGGAGATTTTCCAAAACGAGAAGCGAGTTGCATTGTCTCCTGCCGGTGTCCAGGCCCTGGTCAAGCAGGGCTTTAATGTGGTCGTGGAATCTGGTGCAGGAGAAGCTTCCAAGTTCCCAGATGATCTCTACAGAGCAGCAGGGGCCCAGATCCAAGGGACGAAGGAAGTTCTGGCTTCTGATCTGGTGGTCAAAGTAATTACTCTCTTCTCTCTTCTGTTCATAGCTTCATGTCATTTGTTGAGACAGGGTCTCAGTGTATAGCCCTGGCTGGCTTGGAACCCACAGACATCCACCTATATTTGCCTCTCCAGTGCTGGGATCAAAGCCACCACACCCAGCTTTTCCAAGTTTCTTAGTATTCTTCCTTTTGTTTTTAATTGATGCATAATTGTTCATATTCATGCAGTGATATATATATATCATACATATGTATGTATGTATAATGTATATACAATGTACAGTGATCAACTCAGAACAGTTTGCATGTTCTTCATCTTAAACATTACCCGTTCAGCTTTTCCTATTTGAAAGTCATACTCTCTTTTCTCAATGAAACCGTGGAAGGGAAATGGAGACCTTCACTTTTATATTAGCCGAGTAGATTTTTTTACTTCCTATTTTTTAGTTATAAATGGTATCTTAAGACCTTTTAAAGTCACTTGGCCTATAGGTCACTCAGACCAATGCTCCCTTCTCCAGAATGGTCATGCAGTTTCTAGAACAGTAGTATGTGGGGTAAATGACTGTGTTCAGTTATTAGACACTGCACACAGTATCTTGGGCTGTGTTCAATAACGTCTTTCCAGCCCAGTTGCATATAGTCGTCAGCAGGAGGTCTGTATCTAAATGGACAATGTAGTCAATTAAAAAAAGAGACTTCTACCCAGCCAGTATAAAAGTGAAGATCTCTATTTCCTTTCCATTCATAACATACTTGACCAGGGGCCTCTCTGTTGAATCAAGCCCGTTCCTGTTCCAAGGAGGAACAGGTTTAGGGAATCATTCACTTGGTTTGATGTCTCGGGTGCCAGTGGTCTCAGCTGAGTCTTTGATGAGGGCCAGTAGAATCAACTCAGAGCAGTCCTTGAGTTCTTATTAATCTCCGAGATAGACTGTGTGTGTGTGTATGTGTGTGTGTGTGTTTTGCTGGTTTCACATATGCCAGGTAAGTCCTCCACCACTGAACCACACCTCCTGCCCAAAAAGTCACAGGTTCTCAGCCTAGATTCACAGGAGTCACCAGCTCAGGAATAATAGGAAAAGGCGCTTTGGTAAATGAAGAAAAAAAAATGCCATGATAGGAAGTGACGGGAGCAGCACTCCTGTTTGTGTTTAACATGTAAATCCTACAGGCTGTGTTTCCTATGCTCGCTTCACACAGAGCAAATATAGGGAGACTTCTTATCAGAACAGTGTAATTCGGTAGAGATGCTAGTTTACATTGTGTCCCTTTATAGGTCTGGAACTTCAATCTATACCATAGAGTCTTTAACGGACAACATTCTCAATGCCTCACTACCCCATATATTCATGTTCGCCAAAATTAGTAAAGATTGAGTCTTTTCAGTTGTTTGTTTGTTTGTTTGTTTTTTGGAGACAGTGTTTCACTATGTAGCCCTTGCTGGCTTCTAACTGGATTTGTGAACTAGGCTGCCTTCCCTGTCAGAGAGATCTGCTGGCCTTTTTCTTTCAGTGCTGGTATTAAATATGTGTGCAAGTACTCCCCGTTCTGTGACTGAGCCTTTGAACATAAAACAAAAAAATTTTTTTTGTCTTTTTTCCTCTAATATCTTGTAGTTTTAAAGCAGATTTAACAGTAAGTTTGGGGAGACAGGCTCACTGTAAAATCTTTGTAATATCTCAGTGCTCTGTAGCTGTCACAGCTGACCTGGTGCTGTGTGGTCTTTAACTCAGGATAGGTCACAGGTCACCAGTCACAGGATGGATAGCGTACATCTTCATATGCTTTGCCCTGCTTAAGGTCAGGCAGACATTTATTGATGGAAGATGTCTCTCAGAAGGACTATCTAAACAATAGTGACACGCCTTCTATAAATTGTCCTGTTTGCTTAGAAAACACGGTGAAGGTATTGGTAGTTTTGATCTGTGATTTGGCTTTCATTTCAGGTGAGGGCCCCCATGGTGAACCCGACGTTAGGCGCTCACGAAGCTGACTTTTTAAAGCCGTCAGGAACTCTTATTAGCTTCATCTACCCGGCCCAAAATCCAGACTTGCTCAACAAACTTTCCGAAAGAAAAACTACAGTTCTGGCGATGGACCAGGTTCCAAGGGTGACGATAGCTCAGGGCTATGATGCCCTCAGCTCCATGGCCAACATTTCTGGGTAGGTATATTCTTCCCCATTTCGGTTGACCCACATCACAGGGAGGTAGAATGGGCGATCGTAGAGCTTTTACCCTCACCATAATTGTTGGGAACTGAGCTTTTTAACACTTAAATGGGCTCTTGTGATTCGTTTTATTCCTTTTCACAATAGTTATACTAATATATGTTACATGTCCTATCTTTGTGGTTAGAAGCAATATTTATATCTACCAAAGGAAGTAGCTGTCCGAGTGTCTGCATGAGACACATTTTTTAAAAAAGATTTATTTATTTTATGTATATGAATATACTGTAGCTGTCTTCAGACACACCAGAAGAGGGCATCAGATCCATTACAAATAGTTTTGAGCTACCATGTGGTTGCTGGGAATTGAACTCCGAACCTCTGGAAAAGCAGTCAGTGCTCTTAACCTCTGAACCATCCCTCTAGCCCCCTGGAAGCTGTATTTTTATGTTGTGTGTACATGCATGAGAATGAAATGGTTGTTTTTATAGGTCACATATAATTGGAGACTGACAGTTTCATGTGTTTTAATGTAATACAGGCTGAGAACCCCTGAAACTTTATGATCAGGAGTGTTTCGGATTTCTGACTTTTTCAGACTTTGGAATATTCCTGTACTGAGATGTCTTTGACCTGAGATCCAGGTGTGCACAGGGAAGTTATTTATGTCTCATATACACTTTATACACTAGCCTGAAGGTAGTTTTGTAAATATATTTTGGTAATTTTCTTTATGGGATGGTGCATTTCAGAACATGTTTTTCTCCTTTGGGATGTTTTAAATACAAAGTTGGTATTTTGTGCTTGATCTGTGACCCATTACATGTGTCCTGTGAGGTCAGGGATGGGACATTCTGCTTGTATTGATGTCAGTGCCCCATGTGGAACAGTTTTGACTTTGGATGTTTATATTAGGAGTGCTTAGCATGCTGTATTATAATTAATTAATTAACTAATTAAAAAATAGTCTAGCTGTGTAGTCCAGGCTGGCCTAGAACTCACTGTGTAGTTCAGGGTGGCCTCAGGCTTCAAAGTTGTGATCCTGTTGCCTCTAGCCTTCTGAGGGCTGAGGTTATAGGAACATACCATTATGCGTAGGTTGCTCGTGTTGCTTAGGGTTTCCTTACAAAAGTTAATAAAATAAGATAGTTTCTGTGTTAGAGGGTAGTTTTCTCTCGTGTCACAGCCTGTTGTTTTCACTAGAGCGTGTCCCCTTCTGAGGCCTCAGCGACAGTGGAGCTCATTTGCCCATCAGCACTGCTATCTTCCCTGTCTCTCTCTTTTTTAGAGCTCTGTTTTTATTTAATAAAATACAGAGTATTTTAAAAATTTGTTGGGACTTTCATACACAAATACAGTGTATTTTCATTCATATTCACTCTCCACTCTTCCCCTAATTTCTTCCCGATTCACTGCCCAGCCCCTGACCCCTGAGTCCATTTTGTGCTGACCATATACTCATCGGTGTAGGGCCATCTACTGGATCATGGTTGACTTACAAGGGACCACATTATCAAAGAAAAAAACCTGACTCTTCCTCCTCCAGGATCTACCTTCCTGTTCCACAGTGAGGATGGGGGAGCCCCTCATCCTCCATGCTGAGGTGTTGATTGGCTTGGTCATGCATTCGCAGGTGGCCTCCGCTGCTGTGAGTGCATGAGCGCAGTGGTCTGGTCTTCCTCAGGAGACCTTGTTTTGCTGTGGTCCTCCGTGAGATCTGGAGGGAGGAGGTGTGTAGAGGTGTCCTTGTTTATGGCTGACAGATACTTGCTCTATGCACTTTGACCAATCGAATTTTTGCAATAGCTGCTATCCCCAAACCAAGAAGCTTCTCTGATGTGGTCTAAGAGCCGCACACATATATGGACATCATGGCGTGGATTTAGATGGCAGTTTGGTCCTCTGTCCATTTAGCACATTAAAAGCAGTAGGTTCACCCCTGGGGTTTATGAGCTCTCCAACCATGAGTTCTTGGCTAGATTTAAAGTACCCAGGTATGATTGTCTGTCTTTGGAGCAGGACTTAATTCTACTCAAAAACAGTTATCATCAATGTAACATTTGTACTACTATCATGTCCTTAACACTGATAATGAACTTTTATTCCCCCAACTCTTCTGGGAAGAGCATTATCCCCATGTGTAGAGTAACTTCAGTTAAACTATTATATATATGTGTGTGTGTGTGTGTGTGTGTGTGTGTGTGTATATCCAATATATTATATAATATATTATAAATAATATTTATATACTAATATATTTTATAACTAATACATATATACCTATTATAGTAGTAGGTTTCCATATGGCTTTTCCAAACATCTGAACAATTAAAAACATCGTTGGAGGCATGACTATTCTTGGTTTAAATTATACCACAGTTCCACAGTAAAGCAACATGGTATTGGCACAGAAATAGACGTATTGATCAATAGGGTAGATCATAATCTATATACCTACATTCAACTGATTTTTCCAAAGATGAGAAAAACACACATTGAAGAAATTATAGCATCTTTAATAAATGCTGCTGGGGAAAATTGGACATCTACCTGTAGAAGAAACTTCATCCTTCCCTTTTACCCAGAACTCAAATCAGTTTCAAGTGGACCAAAGACATCAGTGTTAGATCCGAAACTCTTTAGGGCCCTGAGAGAAAAACCAGAGTCTGGGCTCAGTAAGGACTTTCTGAATGGGACCTCAGTCACTCAGGAAACAGGGCCAAGAGCCAACAAGTGGAAGACTTCATGAGATGAAAAAGCTTCTGTACTGCAAAGGGAATTGTTAATCAAAGGCTGAGGCAGCCTACAGAATGGGAAAGACTCCAACTGTCTTGTGTGGAATGTCACATAGAAATGCATTCTAAGCTCACCTCTGCTTGCAGGAAGATGGCTATAATCACATTGCTTGCGAGGGACTGGAATGACCACTGCCTACTTGAGAGGGTGGGAGCATTCTGGAGATAGGGTGATGCTCATGAAATCAGCCTCCCAAGGAAACTAACCAGATTAAAATTTAAGCTAATGTGATTGACACACCAACAAAAGTATTTAAAGGGAAAACAGTGAATGGGGGAAAAAAACCAATATAAATAAAGCCTTTGCACAGAGTCTTGCATGAACTGGAAGGCTCTTAGGTTTTTATCTTTTAGGTTTATCATTATCTGTCTGTGTGCATGAGTGAGTATGGACAAGCATATCTGGTGGTCAGAGGACAGCCTTTAGGAGTAGGCTCTTCTGTCTTACTGAGGAGGGGTCTCTTGTTTGTATTGAGCTATTTTTTTTTAAAGATTTATTTATTTTATGTATAGGAGTACACTGTAGCTGTCTTCACGCACATGAGAAGAAGGCATCAGATCCCATTACAGATGGTTGTGAGCCACCTTGTGGTTGCTGGGAATTGAACTCAGGACCTCTGGAAGAGCAGTCAGTGCTCTTAACCGCTGAGCCATCTCTCCAGCCCTGTACTGAGCTTTGTACCCTAGGCTAGCTGCTTCCATCACCTTCCAGGTGATTCTCCTATCTTCAGCTCCCAGCTTCACACCACACCCGATCACTGCCAAGGCAGTGCTAGGATTACACATTTGTGCCACTCTTCAGCTTTGTAAATGTGGGTTCCTGGGATCCAACTCAGTGTGGCAGGCTTGAGCGGCAACCCCCTTTACCCACTGAGCCATCTCACTGGCCCAAGTTTCCTGTTTCAGATGTAACATTTAAAATATGCCACATATCAAACATACAACACAATTTGTGTTTCAGCTGTTCATCCCGTACATTTTTTTTTTTTTTTTTTTTTTAGGTTTCTCGAGATAGGTTTCTCTGTGTAGTCCTGGCTGTCCTGGAACTCACTCTGTAGACCAGGCTGGCCTCGAACTCAGAAATCCTCCTGCCTCTGCCTCCCAAGTGCTGGGATTAAAGGCATGCGCCACCACTGCCTGGCTATTCATCCAGTTCTTATGGGTTGTCATTATGTTAAAGTTAAAACAAGTTTACACAACTGGGGGGGGTTGTCAAGATAGCTCAAGATAGTGCTCACTGCCTAAGCTCAAGGACCCAGGTTTGATCCGTAACACCCATATAAAAAGCCAGATGAGCTGGAACAAGTTTGTAACCCTGTCTTCAAAAAATAAAACAGAGGGTTCAAGGCTCCTGAGGAACACCACCTGAGGTTGGCTTCTGATCATCACAGGTTCTGTCCTCTGACATATGTGCTCCCACCCGAACACATACACCAGCACACATACAAGTAATAAATAAACAAACACACTTAGTTATCCTTAGTAGAAGGTAGCAAATGGCTTACTGAAAACATTGTTAGTGGTATAAAATCTGTGCTGGGGGAGGCAAAAGAAATTGTTGCCATGTTTAGTGGCTGGAAGAGTGACTGCTACACAAGGTGGGGCTTAACATGTCCCACGCAGAGGTCTACGAGTGCTGTTGATTCTGTCATGTAAGATGCATGTATGTAGGAGAACGTCAAAATCAGCTCTGGAACAGTGCTTTCAGCTGCAGAATCGTGTGAGCAAACAGAATGTTTTGAGACAATATTAGTAGGTCCCATTAGCACCACAGACTGCAGGTTGCACTTAGACGGATCGGAGAGTTTAGAAACACCTGCTTTCTATCTTGAAAAAAAATTTTTTTTTCTGCTCCACTATGACTTACGGTAATAGCAGTGATGATAGCATTTTTATATTAATTGTTTTACTAAGTATTACAACTACGAGAAGGAGGTTTTGCTGCAAGCCAGCACATGAGTCTTAGTATTAAAATAGTTGTGTTTAACTAAGTAAAGATAATATGGAAATGAGATTAGTGTAGTGCGCCCCAGACATCCTCTTAAAGGAAAGATTCAGCTCCCTGTTAGTTTTTATTGGATAACTCGTTTCTGTAGTTAAATCCTATTTACTGAGCATTTTGTCATGCGATAAGAACCATACTGAATATTTCGCTCATGTTAACTTCGTTCTCTCAGTAGCTTTCAGAGCTTGATTCTTATTTTATAGATGAGGAGAACCAGGGTTAACTTTGCTCAGATCTAATCATTTGGTCTGTCTCAGGAGCCCAGATTTTTACCCACTACAGATCAAGGGTAGTAATTTTTCCCCTCTGAGACTGAAATATTATTATATACAATGTCGCACCTAATCTAGATGGACCTTCTTTAGTGTAATGTAAGTACTGCATAGCCATCCAAGAAAATTTGAACTACACAGTTTAAAAAAAAAAAAAAAGGGAAATTTGAAGACAGGGAGCCTCAACACCCGAAGAAAGGTGCTGATGGCATTTGGCGTCTTTACTTTTTAAACTATCTTGGCTAGTCTGCAGTACTTGTTAGGAAGCGGCTGAGTAGCTCTTTGGGTGAGAGTCTTCCTATACAACAATGCTGCCCAGGGCAGGGTTCTCACTCTGCTGCTGACTAGCTGAGCCAGCAGGCAAGCGGTCCTTTCGCCTTCGTGTCTGTGCTTATGAAGCCAATATAGTAATTGTATGCATTCCGAGACTGACTGGGAAGGTCAGAGGGGTAAGTATATAAACAGTGCTCAGAGTTAATCTCACCATAGAGTATACTGTACAAGCATTAGACTCCTGCAGTTATGTAACCGGCAGGTTATAGTAATGTATGGCCTTCCACCTTTTATTTTATGGAGCTGTCTGTTTACTTTTTCAGTTATAAGGCTGTTGTTTTAGCAGCGAATCACTTTGGAAGGTTTTTCACTGGCCAGATCACAGCTGCTGGAAAAGTGCCCCCTGCGAAGGTATGTCTAACTTCCGGTGTTATGTATACAAGTGTTCTGTCTGCACGTATGCCTGCACGCCAGAAGAGGGCACTAGATCTCATCATAGATGATTATGAGCCGCCACATGATTGGTTGCTAAGAACTGAACTCAGGACCTTTGGAAGAGCAGTCAGTACTGTTAACCTCTGAGCCATCTCTCCAGCCCCACTTCCAGTGTTTCTTAATGAGACAAATTGAAGGCATCATAAAATATGGTTATTTTTAAATGTCTCACTGTGTGTTATCCTCACTGATGTTATTGTCGTAATTAGAAATTTAAAGTGAAGCTTTAGAGCTGGATATTGAATATTGCTTGAAAAAAATTTGGCTCTTTTGTTTGTTTGTTTTAAAAGTTCTAGTCTTTTTTTCTTTTGCCTTTTCAGTTTCTGACTTATTTGAATTCTTAAATTGATTTTGTTGAGATTGACCTGTGGGTCAATTTACTATTACTTTTTAAAGAACTTCACAATATTATTCAGTAAATCCGTGTTTCCTGATTACTGCAGTGCCATAGTTTGTGGAAAACACTTTGATTTCTTCCATCTTGTCAGCCGAGGATGGGGAGGGGCATCAAGAGGACAGGAATTAATGGGAGGTGGGACAATCAAGGCACAGCGGAAGGGAGCTGCTTCCTGAATCCAGGTTGGGATGAGAGAGAGAGAGAGAGAGAGAGAGAGAGAGAGAGAGAGAGAGAGAG